TGAAGATAGTCATGCTGCGGGGAGAAGGGGAGGCGAGCCAGGCTGCGGAGCGGGGTCCCCCCAGCCCTGCGCTGCCCCCCGGCGCTTCCCCGCCCCCCCGGGAGCCGCGGGCGGCCCGAGGCCGCGGGGACACGGCCGGGGACACCTTCACCAACAAGGTACGTCGGGAAGAGCAGGAGCGAGCAGCGTCACAACCTGCCCAGCGCGGGGTTCCGCAAGCCCCGTGCCTTGTTTCGTGTTGCACCTCAGTGTTTCACGCCGAGCAATTGTCGGTTGTGTTCTCTTAGTCGACAAAGAGGGGGCAGGGGGAGACTTCTGAGCGCTGGGGCACAGGTCATCCACACGTTGTTAACATCCTGACCCTGCTTTTGCTGGGAAGGGTTGTGCCAGGTCATCCTTGAGGCCCCTTCCAGCCTGATGTTCTGCGATGCTGTTCTGCAGCAGGGCTTGGGCTGTGCCAGCTGCTGCTCCCCAGGGCAGCTCCCTGGCAGGTCTGGGGGAGAGTCTGCGCCAAGGGCTGCTCCGAGAAGGTGGAGGTTGTATGAGATGTGGATCCTTTCCTGCCATGCAGGCTTCTGACACTATTTCAGCATGGTTTGCACCTTCCAGAAGCACTAATTACTTTCCTCCCTTACATGGGTGTTAAAAAAGCACGTTTCAATGGGCACAGCAAAGTGTTTCAGACTCTTGGAACTTAGGCTTACTCAGGGAAGAAAAGATCAACTGTGTGTTAGGGATGTGGGGTAGGGCCAGGCTACATGTTACAAGATGTGGCTGACACCAAGACAGATATCTGGCCCAGAGGGTTTACCCTCTTTTCCACAGTAGCAGAGATGCAGCTTCTGAGGTACTTCATTTGCTAACATAGTGGTTAACTGACATCTGTAGTGATGTACTGCAAATTTCCCTGTCCTTTTGTCTGTGCAAAGTAGAGATGTGAACATGTTTGTTATTATTTTTCAGAATCCTGTTTTCTGCTTTCACCCCAAGTTACTGAAGTATAACTTTTGGGATCTTTTTTTTAAAGAAAGATAGTAGGAGAAAACTAGAAAGTCTAATATAATTAAAGAACAACGTAATTTAACTTACATGAGCTATTAAATCGTGTGTTTCTGTCACCCAATACTAAGGGGACAGACAGGTTCTTTTGGGGAACCTTGGCAGCATGATGATGGCACTAAGCTGTAGTTAGAATTTAAGCTTCATTTTTTTCTCTAACAGGGTTTTATGGTTAGCATAGCATGGAATTACTGATCAGAACAGCAGAGGATTTCTACAAGCAGGATCAGTGTAATTCAGTTTTATTAAACAGCTTCTGTTTTCTAATCACATGGATCCTCTGCAGATCATGTCAAATCTTATTAATTGCCTTGCTGTATCATTGTAACAGTCATAACTTAGACTCAAAACCCTTGTATTATTTTATTAATACAAGTAATTCACTGAGGTCTCAGAGGAAGCAGCGGGCAGTGGAGTTGTCCCTAGGCACTGCAAAATCATGGGTCTCACTGTCCAGCAGCAGCTGCCCATCCACATTCCCACTTAGGACTTTTAACTGCTTGATTTTTCAGACAGTGCTCTGTGGGCTTGTTATATGTCTCTGTTCTGTGCTGGGGTCATCACCAACTGGTTGGCAGGCTGCCTGGGACCTTCAAGGCCAGTAAGGAGGGGAGTAATTGATCTGGTACCCAGGAACCTTGAGAACAACAGGGAGGGGAAAAATAAATCTGTTTGCTTCAACTATGTGGTGCACAGGACCTTGAGGGCCTGATAATGAGAGGAAAAGGGACTCATACGTGAGCAGCTGGGTCTCAGAGAATGGCTGTTAGCTTTATGACACAGTTAAGAGAAGCACATTACCAGAGGTCAGGAGCAGGGAGTGCTGGTCACAGTCTTGGTTCAAGTAGCAAAGTTACTGTCTTTGTTCCTGCCAATGACTTGAACAGATTTTGTTTTTGCTACTGACTTAGAAGCAGCCTGCTTAACTTAGGTGTCTGTAAGGTCAGTATACCTGGCATAAAAGAAACGGTGTGTAGAGTTGTGCCTGCAGTAATCTGGCCCTGCTGGGAGGCATGGGGCTTTTTCTTTTCTCAAAATACAGAAGCAGTAGGCTTAGAAAAAACAAATACTGATATCTTCTTGTCTCTCTTTAGATATTTCTCACAGTATCTGCAACTTTGAATACCAGTATGTTCACTGAATGCCAAAGGGAGAAAATTACCACTCTGTGTCCAAATTTAAAAAGAGAAGGAAATCCTGATATTGATGGTTTTGAGAAACTGACAGGAGATTTTACGGATATTGAAAAGGCTTATCACTATTTTAAGGATATCCTTGCAGACAATGACTCAAACCATGATTTTTCACCTTCTGAAAGTAAGAATAGTCTGGAAGATGAAAATGGCCTAAGTACTGAAGAAACGAATGAGCTTAAAGTTCTGCCTGCTCTATATGAATATTTCAGTCATGCTTGCAAAGAAGAAATCCAAACACTGCAAGAACGTTTTGGAGTGTCTATAAGATGCAAATATCATGACAAGGAAAGCATATCAGTGTGCTTCACTCCTGTTAAAAGTTCGGCATCAATACAAAAAGCTAAAGATTTTTTTATCACAGCTTTTCAGGAACATGCAAGAGATCTGAAACAGGAAAAAATTCCCATAACAAGCAGAGACAAGTTAAATGAAACAATAACAAAACTAAATGCTAGGTTTAGTCATCTTCTTGCCAAAGAGGAAGAGAATCAATTGCTACTCCGTGGTCCAGGGCATTCGATTTTACATGCCAAAAAATTTCTGGACCAGGAAGGTGAAAACAGCAAAGCTGAAAAGAATATGAACATGTCATCAGATCTGTACAAATACAGGAATGGAATTGAAGTTGATGCTTCCATGTTTAAATTGTTGGAAACAATATTAAGCAAAGACATTGAATACATTCAAGATAAATTTGGTACAGTAACAGAAAAAAAAGGCAGTTCATATGGCCAGAAGATGTTAATCACATTTAGGCCTAGGATCAAAACTTTTGATATGACTCCACATGCTACTGAAAGTTTCATCAATGCGTTTCAGAATGCTGCTGCAAGGTTGAGAGAGAAACTCATCAGCCTGAGGCTTTCAGAAGATCAGGAGAAGGCATTAAATATGCTACTTCATGGAAAACAATTGGAAGAGCTGCATGTAAAACTTAAGAAGGAGGACAACAAATTAATTTTAAGTGGTTTACCAAACCATCTTTATGCTGCTGAAAAGCACATTATGGACCTTCTAAACCCTGAAGACTCAATGCAAACTAAAAGCACAACACTGCGGTCCTCCGGTGTCAGCTACCAGGAAGTTACAGGAGCATCTGAGAAGAAATACAATGGCAAGCAAAAGAACAATCTTATTTCTGAAAAACAGCGTAAGGCAAAGACAGATGAGGAAGACAAAGACAAGTGTCCGATTTGCATGGAGACAATTAGTGATAAAGAAACACTGAGAAAGTGTAAGCATGAGTTCTGCAAAAGTTGCATTGACCTGGCCATGACTTATAAGCAATGTTGTCCTGTTTGTAATACTCCTTATGGACACATAGAAGGAAACCAACCAGAGGGAACAATGTCAATTCGAACGCTGGCTAAAAGTCTCCCTGGTTATCCCGATTGTGGTACTATTACGATTACATATAACATGCAAGGTGGTATTCAAACTGTGAGTATATTTAAAGTTTCATAAAGGAGATTTTCCCCACATCAAAAGCAATATTGAATATAAAATTAATTTTCCATTATTTTAATGCATGTTAAGAATAGACATTTCTTTGTTCTATACAAATCTGCGAGTATTTAATTCAATATTTTTGAGTGCAATTATGTAATACAGTAGGAATGAAGTAGTCAGATGGTAGCTCTCCATTTTATATGCACCAGGTGCATATATATATGCACCAGGACAGAGCTACCTGATTTTAATTTGTACACTGGGAATAACTGAACGGAAATCTATGGAGTGATATAATGTAAACAAAGTTATCCAAGTGTAATGAAGATTTTCTGAGGTGTTCTCTTAGCTGCCAACAGCAATGGACAAAAATGAATAGCAGGCTGGCTTGTGAGCTTTACAGGTAAGAAATCAGCTTCTGTTCTGTGCAGAGGGTCATAGCTAGAACTGAAAATGGGATAATTGAAAAAGTTGGGGGTGGGGTGACGTGTATTTGGGAGAGCAAAGAGGAAAAAAACAAATTTTAGAATAACGATGGAGGCATGAGCGATGACAAGAAAATGTGAAGGAAATTTACATGAAAGGAGTTATCTAACAAGAAAAATCTCCTCAAAATCAGTCATCAGTCATGCTGTGTCTTTCTGTGTCAAAGACAGGCTAAAATATTCCCAAATCTGGGCCGTGTGGTTTTCACACTTTTAAAGCATTTATGATATGCAAAGTTTTTGGTTTTTTTTTTCTACAAAACAGGACAAACATCCAAACCCAGGGAGCCCTTACATGGAGACTACTCGAGTGGCATATTTACCTGACAATAAGGAAGGGCGAGAAATTCTGCAGCTCCTTAGAAGAGCCTTTGACCAAAAGTTGATTTTCACAGTGGGGTGCTCACGTACTACTGGTGCAGAAGGTGTCATCACATGGAATGATATTCACCACAAAACTTCTATGTGGGGAGGACCTACCCAGTAAGTACTCTTCTCGTTAGGTAGTTTTATTGCTACTCAGATGTGTCAGGAAGGCTGCCCTGAGTATTTTCTACATTAGAGCTTTCAGATTTTGTGATTTTTGTTTGGACAGTTGGAACAAGGATGAGCTTAGTTTTCAGTTGCCCCCTCAGGCCACTGATTTACCAGTGAGTTGCTAAAGTACCTACTCAGTTAGTAACTACTCTGATAAGAAACTACTTCTAGTACAGGACTGGACAGCAAGCTCTTGATAGCAGCTAAGGCTTGAGCTCCTGATCTCAGGATCGTCAAAAGAACAAGAAGTATCAGTTTTGTTTTATCCCTCCACCTCTGCACAAATGCACTCCCTAGTTAGCACTTGCTTCATACAGTCTTTTGGTGATGTAAAACTTAAAATCCAAAGGTGACATTATATTTGTGTTTCGAATGCTCACTTGGATACCACCTCTGGTCTGGTTTTTAGAAAGATGCATATTCAAGCACCCTCTTATTTTCAGGTGAGACAGCAGGCAGCTTTGAAAATCAAGTTCTTTGTGCCAATTAGACTCACAGATTCACAAACTAATTTGGTTTGGAAAGGACCTTAAAGATCATCTAGTCCCAGGCCCTTGCTATGGGCAGGGACACCTCTCACTAGATCAGGTTGCTCCAAACCCCATCCAACCTGGCCTGGAACACTTCCAGGCATTAGCATACATACATACAGAACAGACATTTTGGACAACCAAATTAATCAGTTCCTTTTTGTAAGCTTTTAGCTTTACCCTCACCTCTCTGAGCTGTAAGATAGGGACCATTGTCTCTATAGAGTAAGAAGATGGTGCATATATTTTGCAAAGTGTTCTGAGAGATTTTGATGAGAAGGTTCCATAGAACTGCCAAGTGCTTCCTTCATTGCAGAAGTGGCCCAAACAATTCTTTTTTCTTCTCCTAGTTTTGGTTACCCTGATCCTGATTATCTGCAGCGGGTTCGATCAGAACTGAAAGCAAGAGGAATTGAATAAGGATGTTTGTCAACCCTCAGCTCTGAAGTGTAATAACTGAATGTGTAGCAATTCATTTACTATTCAAGCACTACGAAGAAGGAAGTTACTTTGTTCAACTGCTGTGCCTAAATCCCTTGTATTTTGCAGTCAGCTACAAAAAGTAATCTTTTTTCATCATGTATTTCTTTTTACGGATCATTTACTTCCTTGAATAGTGCTTCCCTGTATGTGTAGCCCTTACAGAACCTGGGTCTTGTGAGGGTGATATCAGTACTTACTGCACTTGTCAAATATCAAATGATATCTCTTATTTTACCAGTGAATCTGATCTGGGCTTTTTCTCATGAGTCTTCAGTCCGAGCACCAAACCTGACAGATCTACTACAAGCTTTTATTTGATCAAACACTTCCTTTAGCTTTGTATTGTTACATCTGCCATCATGGATAGCATCCTATAACACATCACTGGAAAACTTGTATTAGTTTTATAAGTTGTGGGGAAAGGTCCATTTCCTCTCCCCCCACATACAGAATAAACAAAACGCCTTTCAAGCCAGTAAAGCAAAGCAGCCCCCCCCATACCGGCCTGCAATATTAGTATGTAAGTATCAGCTGTGATCAGACTGTGATCTTCTTGCTTCTTTTCCTTTTCAGGATAGAAATAGCATTAGTGGTTTGGGTTTTAAACATGAAGTTAGCATGGATAGTGTGTGAGGGGCACGTGGATGCTGCTGTAATTTTAACCCTGCAGAAGTGCTGAATGCTCAGCCGTGTTGGAGCAGTGCCTGTGGCCATCTCTGATGATGGGGTCCTGGTTCTGTGCCTCACATAATATTTAAGCTTAAATACAACTTTTAAGTCAACTTTGCAACTCTAAAAGTATATTTTTGCCCATTGCTTCCAATGTATGTTTTCAATTGTATCATAAATACACTTTCTTGCTACTCTCACTGCCTGAATAGGCTGCTAATTAGCTTGGTCGCAATGTGAAATAAAGAATTCTCACTTAATGCAGCCATAATTTTTAGTGAGTTAAACCATTTTTGTTAGGTGATTGACTATAACTAATAAATAAAATATAAACATACCATCTGCTCAGTTCTGCATTTTTCTGTACAAGTTTTCCCTCCTGCTGTAGATACATATAGGGGCTTTTTTGTCTTTAATTTAGGAGCTTCCCAGCAAAGCCACGATTTGGGGTGATTTGGACCCGATGACACCTCCCTTTTGTTTTTAAGATTCCCACCATGTGAATAGGCAGTACTATTCTACAACCTTAACTTGCAGATTTCCTAGTATTGGGCACTGTTTGGTTTCCATGTGGGGTGGAATGACTTTCCTACTGTGGCTGGTTTCACTGCCTCTGTTTTCACATTTCACACTATTTCATGTTTCCTTTCCTGTGCCAACCCAGGATGTACCATTTCTGTGCAAAGACACCAACATTCTGGTGGTTTCTAAGGGACCATGATTCTCTGCACACTGGAACAAGCGATGAAGATCAAATCTCCACGTCTTGTTTTGGTCTCTCGTTTCACTTCCTGCCCCAATTAAAGCCAGTTCACTGATCTCAGCAATTCCCATTTTAGCTGTGGCAAAGCCTGCAAGCTGAGTTTTGCAGCAGGGCCTGATGAAGTGTCCCTGAAAGCTCCCAAGCCTTTATCCTACAACCAGCCATACAGACCTTTAGTTTCTAACCACAGAGGTGCAATTTTGGAGTAAATGTGCCCGACTGGCAATCAAAGTCGGGTGTTTCCCTGGGTTACCACAAGGGAGACAAGTGTGCACCTGGGCTGACTGTTGGGAGAACTGGTCATTAGGGAGCAAAGTACTAATTGCCCACTGAGAAACAAAGCAGCCATGTTCCCCTGACGTCTGCCTGTGCTTATCATATCTCCTGGTATTTGGTTATGATCTCTCGCCTCAATGGACTTTCAGTCGAGTTGGGGTGGGGGAATCCTGGTTTAGCTGTTGTTTTGGTGTCTCGTATTTGGGCAAAAGAGTAAGAGAGGCAGCAAGAAAGCGCTGAAGGCAGCAGCATCCACATGGGGAAGTCGGAGCACTTGCTGTGAGCGGTCTCTGCCGGCGTTGGCCTGAGGAAAACGCTGCGCCCTTGCGCGGCTGTACAAGTGTTATCTGATGGAGAGTGATGGAAACGGGTCGTTTCCCTTTGCGCCGCGGCTCGATTTGGCAGCGTAACACCGGGATCCGTGCTATGCAGCACCCACAGGCACTGAACACAGCTTCTTGCACGGCTCTGCGGAGCCCCGAGGCCGGGCCGGGCAGGACATCCCGGGAGGGACCGGGGCCGCTGCCCCCCCTTCCCGGC